AAGAAATTATATCTTCAGAAAGAGCATTTCCCTGACTTTCTTTGTAGAAAACTATGGCATGTAAAACAGGATTAGGACTTTTGTCTTACACTGTACTTGCCCCAAAGTTCTTCATCAACTCAAACAAATCTGAAGATAAATTTTTCCATTTCCATTGTTTTTTCATGGGTTAATTATTTTTAGGGTTCACTTGGAAATGCATGGAAGTTGGAAAGTGTTCCTACAGGTGACTTCCTTTATATTCCCATTGGCAGGTCTGCAAATTTACAACTGTTTCGCAATTGTAGAAACTGGGCATAGACTATTTAAGCCCTTTCCACCAAATAATAAGTAATTTTGCTTAATGCAATGATAAGCGATAATTACCTAAACAAAATGAAGATATTCTGATAAAAGTAAAAGCTCCTTCCACTTACATTCCTTTAAAATTGAAGAAAGCAAAACTGAAAAGAGGAAATTGTGTAAAAGTGGCATTCTGGCCATTTGGACCTGTTAACAGTTCATTATGTTAATGAACCTAACACAACAGAGAATTGTTAGATTTTATAAGCCAAGTTTCATAATAAATTTGCCTTTTGCTTAAAACATATTTTAAAAACTACAATTAGTGAGGGAAAAAAATTCTTCAATACAATCCAGGTTTCTTATTTTGGACAAATAATTTAGAATCACCATCTATGCTTTTTTTTTTTTTTTCCAAACTGGGGTTTGTATGCAATCTCAATAACATCATCAGTTCGGTTGCTATGCTTACTTGCTCAAGCTGTGACTGTTTCACTCTCAGAATCAGAATGTGATGAACATTCCGTCCAAGTTACAGAGAGAAGCACAAATTCTGAGATAGCTTTAAGTAAAATGCATTCCAATAAAAAACTTTAATGTTTCACTATGGAATTAAAATTTTGGGTGCATATTTTAAGAACGTTGTTAAACAGCAACAATAAGCACTTCAGCTGAATTGATTGGTAGGAAATAAGCGAAAGGAGCCTGTTTTACTGGGGACAGAGCTCTTTGAAGCAGCGAGGCTGGCACTCAGAGCAGAGCGGAGGCATGACTCCTGCTGCATTCAGAGCGAGACATAAAATAAGTTGTTATAACTCGATGGCTCTTCACATTACAATGACTAAATGCATTGTGTTACAGTGTGGATGTGCTAATCTGGCAGTATTTGTTCATTTTGAAAAATGCTTTCTGCCACAAGAAAACACATCTGAGAAAAATCTGAATGCAGCTCACAGTTTTATCACATAACTTCCAAAGCCCTTTAATCCTGCCATTGTTTTAAGCCGATATTAAGCCGGATTCAGATGTACTCGACCACCTTTTAATGAAATTTACATTTAAACTGACTTTTGTGTCCTAAAAATAGAAGTTATTACCTCCATTAGTTAATATAGCTGAAATTTTGTATTTCAAGGTAAAAGCGTTCCATGAGCCACTGCAACAGTACACTTTTGAGACATTTATTTCTAATGCAATTGGAAAGTCATTCTTTCTTAAGGGGGAATTGAAAAACAAGCATTGCAAACATTATCATTAATGTCAAAGCAATTTATTTTTAACATAGTGACGATTCAACGACTAAGATTTCAAATTGTAAGCAGACGCGGGACGAGGCAGGAATTTATAGTGCGTAAGGGTTACATCAGAACAAGCAAAGAAAAATGCCAGCCAATCCCCCCCGAGCCTCCCGTCCTGGGGAGCAGGAGTTCTCAGGTGACTTGCCCCTCACTGTGCATCAGTGTGAGGAAGATGCTGCCCTGGGAACAGTCTGCTCTGTGAACCTGTGCCAGCCCATGGCACCGGGTCGGGCCCTGGACTTCATGACGAATCTGCTGCCTGAACGTGTCAGGCAGGAGGGAGGACACAGCTGAGCATAAAGCCATCAGTGTAAGAGGAAATGTGTAATTAGTCTACAGCGATCCCCCCACTGGCTGTTTATATCTAAGATTATTCTAACTCCATCACTGCTCACACCTTCTAGACTCTAGAAGTGGTTCTCAACCTTCCTAATGCCGCGACCCTTTAATACAGTTCCTCATGTTGTGGTGACCCCCAACCATAAAATTATTTTCGTTGCTACTTCATAACTGTAATTTTGCTACTGTTATGAATCCTAATGTAAATATCTGATATGCAGGATGTATTTTCATTGTTACAAATTGAGCATAATTAAAGCATAGTGATTAATCACAAAAACAATATGTAATTATATATGTGTTTTCCGATGGTCTTAGGCGACCCCTATGAAAGGGTCGTTCGACCCCCAAAGGGGTCGCGACCCACAGGTTGAGAACCGCTGATCTAGAGCAAGTTCTGCTTCTCACTTTCGTAGGAGAGGGAAAGTGGGTCCAGCGGCCTTTCAGATAAAGTCCCTAACAAAGGGATAGAGCTTCAGTGACAGTCTTAGAAACAGGGATTTTTTTTTTCTTCTCACTAATATAACACACAGAGAATGTTTAACAAAAATGTTCCTATTCATAGGATCAACTCTCTCAGT